AGGACTCATAGCAGCTTGTAGAAAAGTGTTTCTCAACCTTCCTAATGATGTGACCCCTCAATACACTTCCTCATGTTGTGGTGACCCCCAATTATAAAATTATTTCTGTAGCTACTTCATAACTGAGGAGGAACTCACAGGCCACTGCCTCCAAGCTACTCTGAAATGCAGCGGGGAGTTCTGCAGTTCCTGAAAGTATGGACTGGATGAAGACACAGGGACTGTGACTCCAGGAGCAGCCTCAGACACAGGGACTTTCCTTTTTTCCTACTGAGCTCACCCTGTTTCATTGTAACAAACCCCCAATAAAAAGTATCCTTGTTTTAACTTTCTCTCTCTCTGGATTGATACTTTGTGTCCTTTACTGACTCTAACTTCTCTATCCATATAAACCTTTCCTCTCCGGAGCCGCGGGACTCCGCTGGCTCACCTGGGATGCTCCGCCAGCCGAAACTGCGTTCCTTTGAACTATGGATATGGAAACCCACCAGGTCCCCGTATCCACAGGTCAACCGATCGACTCCAAACCGGTGCCATCTTTTTTCTGGGCTAATTCTAATACTAACTGCTATCCTACTTTCTGCTGAATGGACCCCTGCGCCCCGGGAACCCACCTTTTGTGGAAAAACTTCATGTGGGACCAGCAGGCTTCTTTGCATGGCTCCACACAGCAATGATGTTCATACCTCCATTTCATGCACATCGCCTCTGACCTGGAAGCCTGTCAACCCCGGAAAAGTCCCTTGTGGTCACCTCCACGACTCCCGACTCCTGGCAGGCCAATCTGGCCCCTCATGAATTGGATCTATAAGTGCTCCCCTTCTTTTGTGCATGGACCCTGACCACTCAGTGTTCCCATGAGTTCCCATGTGCCCTTATGAACTCTTAGGAGTTCTTATGGACTTTCATGAACTTCTCAGGAACTTTTATGAACCTTTGTCAACCTTTATGAATTTTTTAAGGACTTCTTTGAACTCTTATGAACTTTTAAGGAACTTTTTATGGACTCTTTGCAAACTTCAACAAACTTTCATGAACTTTTAATGACTTTTATGAACTTTAATGGACTTTGGGATGGCTAAATGAATTCCCCTTTGACCCTGCATGCCTTCCCTTTCCCTATGAACGCTGTGTATCTCTATATGTGTGTATGTCTATATATGAAAATATGGAGGAAAGCAAACCTTTTTCATGAAACCAGCAACTCATGACTCTTGGGGTTTCCAAACTTCCTGAGTCAATAATCCCCTAACAAAGGACTTCACCAAGCTCATTTCCATGAACAATAAGTAAATGGCTCTGTCTGACCGGGCCACGGAGGGCAAATGGCCAGGCCATCCAGAATGATGGATTCTATGGACATATCAAATCACCCAATTCAAAGGACATCTCTCCATCTGTGAGGAACCGGAGATTTGCCATGGCCTCACTGCTGTGCCACATCCTGATCCCCCTGAAACCCATCTCTGCTTCATCAATGAACCTCATATTGCAGGCCGGAAAACAAAAAGACCTGGCCTCTCAGGGCTAGATGAAAATGTCTATTCAAAGAATCAATCAGTAGCTCAGGCCAGGCTTGAGAGCCTAAAGCTATCACCCAGCAATCTTAATCCCATTGTTTCCTCATTTTTTACATTATTTCTCACCTGGCCCGCCTCCTCCCTTCTCATTGGCTGAGTGGCCAAAGCGGGGCTAGCGCTCTGATTAGACAGAATACTGCACCCCTAGTCACTCCTCCCAGCCAACTGATGTCTCCACCAATCAGCACCAAGCCGGCTTAGGGGGCGGATGCAGGAAATTTGAATTTGTCAGCTCTGTATTTCTATAAATATTGTGTTTCTCTGTCCAATGTGTTATGTCAGCTCCTGGGCAAATGATTGCAGTCGTCAGTTGGAATGAAATAAACATATTGGTGGCTTTCCTTCAACTTTGTGAGAGTTTATTTGGGAAAAATAGGGAAAAATCTTTTTGGGTACTTGTGGTCTCGCCAGGTGTTCCAGATCCTGCTTTTAGGTATGGCCAGCCTCTGCCTCGGTAGGGCCTCCCAAATTCGTGTTCGACTTCATAACTGTAATTTTGTTACTGTTATGAATTGTAATGTAAATATCTGATATGCAGGATATATTTTCATTTACTGAACAATTTTGGCACAAATACACTTAAATTTGAATACTAGTGGAGTTGTGGGGAGGGATTGATTTTGTAATTTGGGAGTTGTAGTTGCTGGAATTCACCTACAATCAAAGAGCATTCTGAACCCCACCAATGATAGAATTCGGCCAAACTTCCCACACAGAACCCCTATGCCTTGGAAGGGACACATTGGCGCAAGCCTCCCTCCATCCTCTCACACTCTCCCTTGCCCGCACATGCACACCATGTTGCCATGTGCTGAGCATGTCTGCTCTCCCCTCCCCTGCTTGGAGTCTCAGAAACAGCCCTCCCCTTGGCTGAGAGGCCAGCTTACAGGCCAGCCAATCACAGGGGAGGAGGGCTTTTGGTGGGATGATTTGCTGTCTGTTTTCAAAAAGGAAGAGAAGAACAAGCGGAGGGATCTTCGGCCTTCTCTGCCAAAGGGGTTTCTAAGACCATCAGAAATATATGTTTTCTCTTGGTCTTTGGAGACACCTCTGAAACCCCCTCATGACCCCCCCCCCAAAGGTGTCCTGATTCCCAAATTGAGAAACACTGTTGTAGAAGAAAGCAGTCAACCTGCAGGATGGGAGATGGGGTGGGCTGGGAGGACACTGGGAAGGGAGAGCTTAAACATTCCCTCATCCAGTTTCACTGCCCTGAGCCAGCTGTATGTGGGCTGAAATACTTTCAAGCTCTTTTTAAAGACACTGGGAGATCCAGTTGCAATTTTCCCATTTTACTCCTGATTTGGCTTTGTGATTATTCAGAGGAAGTATGTGACTCGTGTTCAAGTTCTTGGAGAAGAGAGGGAGAAAATAGGCATTTCTTTTGAGTGCCTTTTAAATGGTTCCTTTGATGTGCTTATGATGCAAAAGTAAACATTTCTATTTAGGAACATTTTTATGAAACGCAAAATGGGTGTATTTTGTGTGGCAGGGATTTATTTTTAAAATTAAGTCAATACACTTGCCATCTTTATTTTTCAACATTTGGAGCATCAGCTGTTCAAAATAGAGGGAAAGCATCAAGAAAAAAAATCAGCTGACAACAGCTCCGTTGGGGAGACAATTCTAACACTGTAGCAGCTACAAACTTGCCTTCACAGTAGCAAAAAGTAGTAATGTTCAAATTTCTCCATTCTTGAGATCAGTCATACTCAAAATGGTGATCCAGGGACCCATGTCCCTTTCTAAACCACCTGCTTCTGGTACCTGAAGAACTTCCAGGAAAGAAAAGAATGATGCTAGCCAAAAGGCACAAATATGATACAATTCCCTGGCACATTAAATGGGGAAATCACTGGTCCCCTATATGTAGAGTGAATGCTGTTTCATTCCACTTTAGCTACAATGGCTCAACGCTATGGAATCAGGGGAATTATAGTTTTGCAAGGTCCTTAACCTTCTCTGCCAAGAATGCTAGTACCTGACCAAACCACAGCTCCCATGAACCCAAAGCATTGAGCTCTGACAATTAAAATGTCAAACTACATTCCTTCTACAGTGTAGATGCACCTTTAGTTTGCTTTGCCGTGCTACTCAACACCCACTCACCCATCCATGCATGTATTCACATTACCTTTCATAGAATCATAGAGTTAGAAGAGACCTCATGGGCCATCCAGTCCAACCCCCTGCCAAGAAGCAGGAAAATCGTATTCAAAGCATCCCCGACAGATGGCCATCCAGCCTCTGTTTTAAAGCCTCCAAAGAAGGAGCCTCCACCACACTCAGGGGCACAGAGTTCCCCTGCTGAACAGCTCTCACAGTCAGGAAGGTTCTTCCTCATGTTCTGGTGGAACCTCCTTTCTTTGAGTTTTAAGCCATTGTTCTGTGTCCTAGTCTCCAGGCTTGTTCCCTCCTCCCTATGACTTCCCCTCACATATTTATACATGGCCCTCATCATGTCTCCTCTCAGCCTTCTTTTCTGCAGGCTACACATGTCCAGCTCTTTAAGTTGCTCCTCATAGGGCTTGTTCTCCAGATCTTTAATAATTTTAGTTGCCCTCCTCTGGACACATCCCAGCCTGTGAATTGTGGCACCCAGAATTGGATACAATGTGATTCCAGGTGCGGTCTGACCAAGGCAAAATAGAGGGTAGCATAACTTCCCTGGATCTAGACACTAGACTCCTATTTATGGAGGCCAAAATCCCATTTGCTTTTTTTGCTTCCACATGACATTGTTGGCTCATGTTCATCTTCCTGTCCACAAGGACTTCCAAGAACTTTTTCACACATACTGCTTTCGAGCCATGTGTCCCCCATTCTGTATTTTTGCATTTCATTTTTTTCTGCCTAAGTGGAGTATCTTGCATTTGTTGCTGTTGGACTTCGTTTTGCTAGTTTTGGCCAATCATCTCTCTAATCTGTTCAAGTAGTTTTGAATTCTGCTCCTGTCTTCTGGGGAATTGGCTATCCCTCTCAATTTCATGTCCTCTGCAAACTTGAAGATCATGTCTTCTAACCCTTCATCTAACTCATTAATAAAGACGTTGAACAGGACGGAACCCTGGTTAGGGCACTCCACTCATCATTTCTTTCCAGGCTGAAGAGGAAGCATTAGTGAGCACCCTTTGGGTTTGTTCACTTAACCAATTACAGATCCACCTAACCATAGTTTTGCCTAGCCCACATTGGACTAGTTTCCTTGCCAGAAGGTCATGGGGGACCTTGTTGAAGGCCTGACTGAAATCCAGGTACGCTACATCCACGGCATTCCCCACATCTACCCAGCTTGTAACTCTATCAAAAAAGAGGTCAGATTAGTCTGGCATGACTTGTTTTTGATAAGATAATGTTTGTGGCTCTTTCTCATGCTATACCAATGTGATTCATTTGGCAAAGACACTCAGACACAAAGGCTCAGATCCAAATAAAATTTATTCTTATTTGGAATGTGGTGTCAATGTAACACAGAGACCCTTGACAATAAAGGGCATATCCCTGCCATCCAAAGTGTTGGAGGAGAAGGAGACAAGAGTAGGAAATAAGCACATGCCGTCTTTAGCTTCAGTCTCCCTTTTCACTTGGGGGCTTCTTTGGTGCTTCAAAGGGATGCTCTGCGACTTCTGCAAGAGAAACACATATGGAAAGATGTCAGAAGCCAGAAGGAGTGTTCCCAGATCTCAAAGCCCAGACAGGACAAAGAGGAAAAATTGCAAAGTGAGAGCACTGCTTTCAAAAAGTAAAGAAGTAAAGTAGGGTCTAGTTAGTACTTGGGTTGGGAACTTCCAACTAATACCAGGTGCCTTGGGCTATGTTTTAGATGAAGGAACCAGTATTCCTTGCCTCTAAAATCCATAGATCCATCATAAATCAATAGGTGATTTGAACACACACACACATTTTGGGGCCAGTTTTTGCATGACATTGCTGCTTCTATCAGTTCTCTTACCTTTTGCCTTGTCAAATATGCCCTTCAACAGCCTGAAAACCGTCCTGAACGTGTTTGCAACACAATCCAAGCTACACATCTTGAGATCTGGTTAGATTCACTTTTACCTGTAATATAGAAATTGGGATTAGTGTTGTTGCCATTTGCATAATGTCCTGTATCTTGTGATGTGGGATGAGATGTAAATACTTTCATGACCAAATAAATACAAGTAAATGTTTGCTCCCAATACTGGAACTCAGGGGGCTGTTGTGTTTACAAAAAAATTAAAACAGTTTTTAAAACATACAAAGACATCAATAAATGCACAGAGAAGTTATTTTAAATATACAAATAAAAATAAATATCCAAACAAAAATCTGTAAAATCTAAACTATTGAAACCATATTATTAGCATGGTCACTCTTCTCATTTTCAAAGTATCTGTAAACCATTAAAACATATGCTATCATCGTCGTCGTCATCATTTTATCTTTGTTTTTAAATAGCAACTCAAGATACCAAACATTACCCAAGGAAAGGTGATCCAGACACCACAATACAATATATAGGGTTGGGTTTATTTCTGCATCTTTGGTTGCTGTTAAATGCACAAGAACCAAGTCATTAAATCTTATGCCATAGTGTTATTTCAGTACACATCCTTCCTGCTGGCATTTCTGCCTATTTTGTATTTGCCTTGTATTGATTTGCTTTCTGGCAAAAATCAAAGAGAAATCATAACAGTGAGATCAATCTTCTTTCTCCTGGTTCCTCTCTTTGAGGTGATGTGAGTTCACATCCAACACATCAGAAGGACACTTTCTCCTGTCCAAATTGTCAAATGCATTTTTAATAATAACAACATCTGAACAATTGTTTATACATGGGGCCTATAGATTTTTTGCATGAACAAGGGACACAGATCATGTTAACAATGCAAACCTACAAATGTATATTGTGAAGCTAAAATAATAATAACAATAACGACAACAACAACAACAACAACAACACATTTGCTGCCACTTGTATTGATGTTGCCATACCAGGTGACAGACACATTGAGGAAAAACAACAGGGAAAAACTCAGCCATTATCAGGACGTTAAAATTGAACTGCAAAGACTCTGGCATAAACCAGTACAGGTGGTCCCAGTGGTCATCAGCACACTGGGTGCCATGCCAAAAGATCTCAGCTGGCATTTGGAAACAATAAACATTGACAAAATCATGGTCTGTCAACTGCAAAAGACCACCTTACTTGGATCTGCGTGCATCATTCGAAAATACATCACACAGTCTTAGATGCTTGGGAAGTGTTCGACTTATGATTTTGTGATACGAAATCCAGCATATAGATCTCATTTGCTGTGTTTTTGTGTCAGTAAAATAATAAAAATCTTTATTTATATTCCATTTATCTCCTCAGTTGATTGAGGAGTTCTTGATTAGAGTGTTAGTCAGGAGAGAATATTTCTAGAACATGGCCATAGAGCCTGAAAAACTTACAACAACCCATTTGATATGATTCATGGATAAGTCAAGGGCCATTCTGTGGAGAGGAGAAAGCATCAGTGTCACCTCGGGGTACCATACAATATGGATGGGTTCCTTGGTACACAGGTTAAACACCAATAATCCACTTATAAGGATAACATAATGAA